ATGAAAGGAAAATGGTGCAACTTTATTATCTGGTGCCTGGTTGTGTTATATCTATGTTTATATTTATATTTATCAATCAGAGTATGTTAGTATGGTCAGGTGAGTAAGCACTAGAGAAGTCACACTGTACTTTGGCTTTTAAGGTGCGGTGGTGCGACCACACATGATTTTTCAGGTGCACAGCCAAAAATCTAGTCGCAAATGCGACCATTCGGTCGTTAACTTTGAGCCCTGCCCACCCTGGAAGGGAGTTATATCAGGTAATTTTCATTTCACACACAATATAACTTTTATTCACTTGTAACAGTGCTCTATATATTACATGGAAAAACGACAAATTCTCTTGCTCAAACAACGCCAGTTCTTAGAAATAAGCCATTTCCGAGTTACCTTGTGCCTTTGTTTCAAAACAAGTCCTTGTGCAAAACATCTCATACATAATATAAAACGAGTTTGATTTCTCTGGGCGGAACACATTTTGACATGAATTGTTTCATACTAACGCTTGTTTTGACACAGGGGCAAAAGGCAACTCAGAAATGGCCTAATACAAAAAATATATATATATTTATTATTTGATAGTACTAAAACACAATATAACAAACTGATTAACAAGTGACAAAAATGTCAAGGATGTGTCCTTTAACTTGTCAGCTGTTACATAAGATTGGTTTTTGTTTTTTCACTAAGGTACCTTAGTATATTATTAAATAAATTATCTAAATTTCAGTACTTAGAAAGTTATCCATCAAAATAATTTTGCAGATTTTCCAAAACACTAATTTATTGATCTTAAACATATTGATAATTCACTTTCAGCTTTTAACTATCTCTGAGAAATTATTTATTTTAGTTGTCTAGCTGTGTTCACGTGATGACAGTAACTGGGGTCAAATTCTTTTTGTTTGTCCAAGGCACGTGAACAATTCGTGCTCGGTTTACGAAGAAGGCCGGCTAATAAGTCGATTCAAACTAGCATTACAAAATTTTTTGAGGTCAACACACTTTTAAATTTATAAGAACTACATATGCTTGTCCTTTTGATTGAAGTTATCGCTTAAGCTTGTATTTTTACAGGCAGTTCGTTTCTCGTTGATGTAATCGTTAATCGATTCGACACACGATGAACGAACGGTTGGTCTGCCGCCTGTATAAAACTCCTTTAAGCTTACACAAATGTCGAGAAGAAATTCTGTCGCCTTGGAGGTCAATATATAAGCGAAAGCTTAATTTTCTTTAGGAGAAAATCTTGATTAACGAGAGGGAAATGCAAGTTATTTTGGCGCTAAAATTCATGATTAGTAAGAACTCAAATTTTAATATTCAATGGCCATGCAAACTTTTAGCAATGTTCGGGGCATTCGACTCCAAAAACACCAGTTGGTTTACCCTACTGACTTTTATGTAAAAGAGCCATCAAACTATCCTCATGAAACACAATTCTGCTCATTTGTGTCCATAACCGTGGTAAACACAGTTTGCCGGTTTAAGCTCAGTTAATCTTGGAAGTACAATACATGTATGTTACATCATCCCCATTAAAATAACCTGAACGCCCTCTTAAATAAGCCAGTTAATGTAACTAAAAAGATATATTCTGAAAGAAAAGTCCTAAAGCACTAAAACAATCTTCAAAACCTACCATTCCGAGACTTCTTTCCCTCGTCCGCAAAATGCGGCAAGTTCATCGATACCTTCGTCCATAATGACTGTGCTATCTACGTCAAAACATACAGCGTCCGCTTTTTGCCACACTTGCTTCGCTTGTTGGATCGTCATTGTTGTTAAATATCTAGTATGTTTACCGCAGTTCCGTAGCAGTAGCATATAAAATGGTTAGCACAGTGAAATTTCTTCAAACCGACTCGTTCATTATATCGGTAAAACACACACTCGTACCCAGGCTCCTGGAAAACTACTGAAATGTAAAATTACTGTGGACCCTTGCTTGGTGTGCGAGAAATTCATGCGCGCAAAAAGACGAGGCAAAAATTCGTCAAAACTTAAGAGGTAAAAAAAAAGTGGAACACAATCAACCGAATCCCAATTCTAGTATTTCAGATCGTTGACTTTATATTAATTCACGTCCCGTGACTGCATGGAAATCAACTTCAGGGATGCATGACACAATTTGTAACGCAACACCGACATGCGGTCACGCGGTTTCCGTAATTTTCCAATGTGGCGTGTTTCAATGAGAGGATGGCGAATGCATGCACTAGCTATTGTTGTGTAATCCTTTCAACTGTTCCATTGTCCAGTACAAGAACGTGGGTAAATAGAGTTGAAAAAGAAACGGAAAGGCATCACAATTGTATCTGATACTGAATTTTGTCAATAGAATATATATATCTCTTGATTTTGTTGAGTGATATGATAGCATTTTTCCTCTTGTTTTGGAGAGGGGGTCCTACGAGTGATAATTCAGTAAAATTGATATTTTAAAACGATGAAGCTGAGTCGATGAGGGTACATTTACCGGTGTAGCGAGGTTGTGAACTGAAGAGAAACTTGCTTGAAAATAGTAGAAGTTATTCCTAACACCCTAAGGCACAGGCAGCCCAAGTTCCACCTGTGAGATGATCATCTTACGTAATACCGGTCACGGCAAAATCACAAGTCTTTGTATGGGAATATTTACGATCGGTTTCAGGAGGTAGATATACTATAAAGCTCTTGATAAAAATGCCTTATATTACTTCCACAGTGTATTTCTTGTTGTCTGTTCACTTTTCTGCCGATTTGAAGCAATTTTAGCGAGTTATCGCTAGCTTCCTATAGCCTTATGACCTGTGATGGCATCCAGTTTACTCGGATCTTGTCTCACAAGGCTCGTGCCTACAGCCGCATTTCAGTCGTGATCTTAGAGCAATTCAACCACGAAAACATGCATCGTTGGCATCACATGATCCTGTAGTATGTCTTTTTCCAATCAGTAATAATCAAAATCTCTTCATGATCAACCCTAGAAAATTGATTTGGCTACTTGTGTTTGGTTGTTCCATAAGTAAGCTGTTTCGACACCATGAGTGGCCAAGCATGCACAATCTCCTAGTCTGAGAGTTGTAGGCTTGTCGCTTACTCTCTCTAGTTTAAAAGACTGGCCATTTTCAACAGAAATCCACATCGAGGTCGAGGGATGAATAATTAATTTCTTTTGTTTTATTCCTCTAAGTCTCGGACCCAAGTTAGAAAGCTAATATATCGAAATTGCCCTATTTATTCTTAGCCTGTGTATATGCTTTTACTGGAAGGACCGAGAAGGAACTGGCGGAGAGGGGTGTGGGGTGGGGATTGGGCCCAACCTCGACCGGAGAGCTAATTTACCCTCTTGTTACACACGGGGAGTACATTAACCTTTTTTAGGTTTATTTCTGTTTGTAGTATACTGATTTCCTTTTATGTTTCGGCTTTGTAGTTTACTAGCACTTGAAACCATTTAGAGTACAGAGAGATGTTCTGGCTTACATAGCACAGGCTCATTGGAAAAAAGGAAAAATTTACTGTTTAGCCGAGCAGTGGTATTTGGTTACTAGTATCTAATTTTGTCTCTCTTTCTCTCTCAATTTTTTTTTCTATTAAATTCTAATTATGTGTATTCCTTACTTTATGTGGTTAGAACACAGGGACGGCAGAGCCGGGGGGGGAGCTGAGCGGGCTTTAGCCCCCCAATTTCAACCAAAAAATACATAAAATAATAATTTTACAAATATCTCCAGATACCCTACAAGTTAGCGCCCCTGGCGCTCGCTTGGAAGCCCCCCTTCCCC